GAGTGATAAAATGGAAAGCCGGACTGCACAGGATTTAGAGTTAAGTGAGGAGAGGAGGTAGAGTCACTGATTGCCTTTTAATTAAATCTGACTTTTAGAAAATGAACACAAATTTTCTCTTTTTTTCTCCTCTGCCCCCTCCCCTACAGTTGGGAGGAAACAACAAAAACAAAATCCTTGTAAGAAATACATGTAGTCAACAAAGCCACATTCCCACACTGACCATGTCAAAAAAATTGGTCTCATTCTGCACCAAGTCCATCGTCCCTCTTTCAGGAGGTGGGTGGCAGGTTTCATCATCTGTCTATGAAATCATGGTTGGTCCTTGTGTTAGTCAGATATCTTAAGTCTCTCCAAGTTATTTGCTTTTACAGGGGTGTTGTTATATAAACTGTCCTCCTACAGTACACCCACTTCACTTTGCATCACTTTGTATAGGTCTTCCCTGGTTTCACTGGAACTTGTGTGGATGTCTTTCTTAAGGAGTTTAGCAATAAAGGGAAGCAGAAACATGGGGCAGTAGGTAGCAGGAATGTTTGAATCAAGTGAGGGGCTTGGAAGGATGGGAGCGATCATGGCCTGCTTGGGGCCTCTGAGAAGGAGCTGGTAGATTGGGAGAGAGTGATCATAGGAAGGAGAGTGGAGATAAGAGTGCAGTGGTTGGCTGGAGAAGTCGAGGGGGGATTGGTTTAAGGACAGATGTCAAGGAGTCTGCCTTTTGTCTGAGACCGGAATGAAGGGGGAGATGGTGGGGATAGAAGTGCAAGTATTGAGAGGAGGAAGGGAGAGGGGCAAGCTCTCTGGGCAGGGGTACCTCAGCTAAGACAGTAGGCGAAGGGGATGCTGTGGGAGGCTAGAGGAGAGATGAGTAGGTTTGGAAAGCTGCTGTGGAGTGTGGGATAGCAAATCACTTTGGGAGGAATAGAATGTTTACTTTGCTAGAGTGAGGGCCCACTTGAAGGCAGATTACATGCATTTTTGGAGGGCTCAGTCAGCAGTTTTGTGATTTCCTTTATCTTCTTTAAGGAATCAAGAAGTTGGCAGTGCCCATAATCCAGTGTTGGGGCTTGGCCAGGTGTGATTGGCAGAAGGACAAGGGTGGAGGGCATCCTGGATGGAGGAGAGTGTAGAGCTGAGTCGGCTCACCAAGGGGTCAAGAGAGGGGATGGGAGGAGATCAGCCAGTGCAGGGTGATAGTGAAGGAAAGAACACAGGGGTGGACAGATTGGACATCATGGTGGGGAGGAAGCATGGGGTGGGGAGGGTGTTGTAAGGCCAGAGAATAATGGAATGAAAAATGATTATTACCAGAGAAAAGAATTTCAGACTTCACGAACATGGAAATAGAGCACTGTGGGGGATGGTGAAGTGAAGGGTGTGACTGTCTCTGTGTGTGGCTGAGGTGGAATGGAGAAGCTGGGGTACTTGAGGGGGTCCCCGAACATTAGGGCAGGAGATGGAGAGGAGAGAGAGACTGTGAAGCAAGCCCTGAAGTTATGGAGGATGGAAGGTGGTAAGAGCCGAAAGGGGGTGATTCAGGCAGTAAATTGCATGAACCTCAGAGGAGGAGAAAGTGATAAGTGAAGGTAGGCAAGGTCTGGAGAGAATGTTTTGACTCCTCCACTGTGGTCTGTGAGTCAGCGGGCGTGAGATAAAGTACAACCAGGACAGAGAATCTGTTTTTTCCGTCTCACAGTTAATACTCCAGTAATTTCACGATGCCTGGTAAACCTCTGGGCTTTTTTCTTGCTGTCTTTACTCACTGATTTGATGGTTTTCATGGATGTTTGATGAGAATGCATGAGTGCCATGGCTCCATGAGCATCAGCAATGATGGCTCGCCTCTCTGTTCAGAAGCATCAGTCATAATGTACGGGGAAGCAAAACTGACGTTTTAGCATTTTTCCATTAAAAGCTTGGTTGAAAATCCTTAAGGAAATAAGTATATACTCCATTCACTTGTGTGTTCTCAGAAAACATTATGTCACAAAAGTGGGAATCGTTGGCTCTTTCTCAATAACATGAAGCTTTGTTCCTTTTTTATGTTTTGGTTTATGATATGTATTCCACCATTAGAGGCACAGGAGAGAAGCCAGCCTCATTTCCAGAGCTGTATGTGAATGTCTCGTAATGTGGAATGTCACATTAATTTCAAGGACATTGGAAACAGGAATGTCAAAACCAGTATTTGCTTAGCCAAGTAAGACCGATAGTAGTGGAAGAAAGAACTTAATTCTGGCATCTGCTAGGATAGAAATATTGGGAAACTTTTTTAAAAAAAGAAAATGTAGATGTCATTTTTTAGACTCATAATTTTCTGATACGAGATTTATTTGATTTATTTCAAAATGTATTGTAGATGTCCTTCAAAATAAAATTTATGCCATATCCATTCAAATGCTTCGTCTAAAGACTTGTCAAGTATAGCTGTGTGTTGTACCTCACTTAGCAAGACCAGGCCCACAAACTAAAGCATTTATTAACTACTATGTGTGAAGCTTTGTGCTAAGTGCCAGGATATGAAGACAAAAGCAAACCTTTCAGAGAAAATTCAGTAATTTTTATTGATATCTTTTGTTTTTGTATCACCTGCAAATCGTTTTGCATCTCACCCACTTCCAGAGAACCATCCTTTATAAGAAAGAATAACAAAAAGAAGAAGAAGGAAAAAAAAAAACTCCACAAAACTAGCCAACATGTCATCAAAGGCTGTTTTTATTTGTGATGTTCCACGTGCTGCTGGGTCTCCCATCTTTGAGTTCTTGGCTATCACAAAAAATGCTGCTCTCTATTGTTAGGTGTTTATGTGGCCTTTCTTTTTGTCATTGATCTCCTTGGTTTATATCCCTAACAGTGAAATCTCTGGATCAAAGTGTGTGGATGCTTTGGACACTTTTATTTTTCTTCTACAATTCCAATGGTTGGATGACTTTACAGTTGCATTAGTAATGCATTCATGTGCCTTGTCTTTCCACAACCCCTCCAAAATGAACTGTTCCCATATTGTGTAATCTTTGTCCCTTTGCTGGCTGTGAGGTTGTTTTAATTTGCGTTTCTCATATTATTAGTGAGTCAGAACAGAGGTGTCAAACATATGGTGCACTATACTCCCCAGTGCAGCCCAAACCAGATTAAAATGTAATTGGGAAATATTTAACAAAATAAGCAACAATATAAGAAAACATAGCTAATATAAATATGTGATTTTCTAAGTCAGTGTGTGGCCCACGAGGGATCCTTATTTATGGCCTAGTGAACCCTGTTTCCATTTGATTTTGACATGGCTTTAGAAAGTTCTTTCATGTGGTTGTTAATAGTTTGCATTTCTTCTTTTGCGAACTGCATATTCATATCCTTTGACCAGTTATCTTTTGGAGAGTGGCTTTTGCTCGTGTATTTCTGTGTATTATCTCTATATCTTGGATATTAGACCCTTATCAAACGTATTTGATAGAAAGATTGGCCCAGCTGAACATTTCCCTTTTCTGTCCTTCCTTGTTTCGTTAGTTTGTTTATGCAAAGGCTTTTCAATTTCACGTATTCAGAATGACCCATTTTGTCTTTTGTAATTGCCTCTCCCCTCCACTTGGTTAGGGTTTCACTCCTTCCTCATGGGTGTGAAAGGTCTGTCATCTGTTTTTCCTCTGGTTTTTTTATGGTGTGATTTATAATATTCACGTTATGAATCCATTTTAAACCGAGTGTGGAATATGTTGTAAGATTCAGATTAGAGCTTATAGTCTAATGGGGGAGATAAAAAATACCTGTATGAGTTTACACAGAATATGTACAAAATGTATAATACAAGGTCATTTTGGGAGGGAGGGTGCTAGCGGCTGGGAGCATTAGCCGAGGGCTTCACGAAGAAAGAGGCGTTGAGCTGAATCTTGGAGGAAGAGAGTCAGCTGTGAGGAAGGAGACCACGCCAGGTCCAAGGCCAGACACTACCGTGATGTGGACGTGGGTGCACAACAGGGAGTTTAGGGGCCAGTGTGGCTGGAACACAGAATGTAAGCTCAAGTGTGAGGAGATTGGAAAGGAGGAGGAGCCAGGTTCAGCAGAGATTTAAATGTCAGTGAACTGTCTGAGGGGTAATAGGAAGCCACTGTAGTTTGTTAGAGCGAGAGGAGGATGTGACATGATCAGATGCTTCAGCAAAATCACTTTGGCAGCTGAGTGAAAAAGAGATTGTTATAGGGAAAGGTTTGAGATAGGGAATTATAAAAGATTATTTGTAAAACAACTTTTTTCTAGGTTTTATAGTGAATATTCAGAACTTTCCCATTTATTTTATAATTTTAAAAATGTATTTTTAGGGAATATAAAAAAAAAAACTTTTTTTTTTAATGCATTATGTGTTATTGTTGAAATGTTCCCAGTCTAATAGAAAACGAGTCTCATGGACCTTTTTTGGAATCATGGTGCCTGGGAAATGCCCTTTTCTCCTTGTATGGAATAGCGGCCAGTTGTTTGCCCAATTTTCTGTGTCCCCTCCTTCCCACTTTTTAAGTGAAACAAAACTCATCCTTTTTCAAAGAGTTAGGAACCTTATATATCGGATGTATTAGTAGTCAGTTTTAGGGCTCACAAATGGGATCGTGGTGTTGTGCTGAGGCTTTGTCTGTGTCCGCTAGGCCGAAGGAGATCTGAAACCTCCCAGATGTTTGGCAGCTTCTGATTCAGGGAGTGGTTTCCCAGAATCTGAACTGATTTGAGATTCAGTATCCAATTCTTAATAAATTTGGATTGCTTCAGAATAACTGAAGAATTTCAATTTAGAATAAGGTTTGACGGTGTAATCATGTGTTACTTGGTTCTTTGTTATCTTTTAGTCAAGAGCTTTGTAAGATGAATAGCCGCTGTAGAGAAATATGATACAAAAAATAACCAAAAGAGATCTCTTGAGTGTATTTAATTCTGATAAAAAGTATTTGGTATTCACTTGGTATATTTGATGTTATTTATTCCCTGCAATTTGTAATTTTTTTCCTTTCCAACAGGGGCATAAGAAAATGGTGGCAGACCCTTCCTCCCAACAAGAAAGAGCTATTTAAAGAAAGTGTAAAGAAGAATAAATGGAAGTTATTCCTGGGCTTGAGTAGTTTGGGAGTTTTATTTGTTGTTTTTTATTTTACTCACCTGGAGGAGAGTCCAGTCACAGGACGGAAGAAGTTACTAGTGTTGGGGAAGGACCAATTCATGATGTTATCACAAATGGAATATGAAGCAGTAAGTAGTGAAAATAGTGACAAGCCTCTTTGTAGAATGTTCCTGACGTAACCTGTATTTAAAGCGAGTTCGGAAGGGCCTGTGTGAGACGTGGGTCGGCCTCAGAGCCCAGAGACGTGGCTTGGAGTTCGCAGACCTGGGCCGGGGCTGGGGCCTCAATTGCTTGTGTTTGCCACTTCTGAGTCTGCATTTCCATCCTGCCGAGCAGGTGCAGAATATGTTGATTTTTCTGTTAATGTTGGAAAAAAATGATCCTGGTTTTTAGAAACCTTAGTTAGTTCTCTGGGTGGTGTCATTGTATCCTAGGGAGCTGGATGTCCAAAGAGTTAAAACTTTCTTAACTGTACATTAAAGGTGGATGGGAAGGCATTTTACAGAAGAGGCTTGTGTCTCTGGAGAAGCGCGAGCTTCCTTACTGTGTTAAACAAAGTTTGTCTTGAGTCGCTTCACTGACACTTTGGGATTACCTGTTGTGTGCTTGTCCTCTCCTGGGCTGCTGTGGGCTTACAGAGGTAAATGGGACCCATCCCTCCTGCCGTCAGCGATGACAGTGTGTTGAAAGGTCTTCAGGGTTTCAGACTTGCTTCTACTTTAATCAGAGACAGTTTAACGGATGGACAAGGAGAACAGTATTGATGGAGTGCTTTAAGGTGTGCCAAGCTCTTTCCATCCCTTGATGTCTTTGATCCTCAGAACAGTCCTGAGGCCGGTGCTATGCTGATGGTTGCTGTGAATGAAACCCCAGCCCCCAGAATTACTCAGCTGGTAAATATCTGGGTGAATTCTCCTCACTCCCAGTCCAGCTCCCCCTAAGGGCCAGGAGCTCTCCCACGTCCTCTGCTGCTTCTCTGGAGGCAGGCCCCTCCTCTCTAGGATTTCCCCCCATGTTCTCATATCATACTTATACACGTCTTCAGGGCACTTTGTAGTCTACATAGACTTATTCCCACTGAAGTCTAAGCCCTTGAGGTTAGGGATTGTTTCACTTTTACTTTTCCCAGTGTCTAGTACTGTCCTCTTGGACATTGTAGATAATTAATAAATATTTGTTGAGTTAGATTAAGTTTTGTGAAATTGGGTTAAGATAGGTCTGTGGCATTTGCTTTTCCTTCCTCTAAGAAGCCTAAAATATGTTTTCTAAAGTCTCAGGTGAGCGCCCATTAAAGATCCATTCTGGTGGGAAAAGAAAAGAGACTGGTGTTCACTTGTAGCTTCTAACATTTGCTGACTGTATGACCTTGGATACCTCACTCCATCTCTATGACCTGGTTCTATCATCTGTAAAATAATCTTATCTCTAATACTGTGTCATAGGTACATGTTACCGCTACCATGTTAGAAGATCAAACAAGCCCAGAAAACATTTTAGTCAGCAGACATTTCATTTATGTGCAAAGCTGGGAAAGATGGAGGCCAAAGGTAACAGTGGTTTTGAATATAAACTTGTTAGTAAAATTTTTACAAAGGATGGAAAATTATAAGCATATTTTTTCATAAAGCAAGGAAGTACAATAGAAGGTAAAGCCAGATTAGAGGAAGTTTGGCAAGAGATCCAAAAAAGCAAAATCATCCCAAGGACACTTAACGACATTTATGAAAGGAAGACAACAAACAAGAAAAATGGAAAAGATCTGTGAAGTTACGGTAACCAAAGATTTCCCCCTCAGGGACAGTGGAACTACCAATCATGCTTGGACCCTAAAAGAATCATTCTGTTCATACTTAGAAGAACATGCTTAAACGGACCAAAGACAAGAAATGTGGCCAGATTGCACCAAGTGTACATAAGGCATATCTAGACCCAAAATCCAAATACAGAGATTCAAAGTAATTTCCATGTGGAGTTAGGGTAGGAGCCAGACCTTGAGTTGATTTTTGCAAGAAGATTACAGGCATTCTAGAAGGAGGAGGCGAGGAAGGAGAGCATTCCAGGCTTAGAGGACAGCCTCTGCATATGTGGAGACAGACAGGGAATGTCACATAGAGGGAATAGCAAATAGGCTAGTTTGGCTGAAACAGAGGAGAGAAGCATGCTTAGAGTCTGGAAAGGTCAGCTGGAGCTATCTGTTAGAGCCAGGCTGTGAAGGGTTTTAAGAGGCTCAAAGGAGCTCTTGGAGATGCTTGAGTAGGAGAGTGACATGATTAGATCTGGCAGCAACCAGCTGTGTAGGTCTGTTATCTGAGGGACCACCAGGCTGTCTTTGGAGAAGCTCTTTGCCAGAAGGCTCCCTCCAGGAGATCTGTTGTTGTTTTTTTCCATCATAGCTGCTCATGGACATGGTTTACGAAAGCATAAGAAAGACTTTATTGTCTGAAAACCAGGTAGGCTAAGTAAGTTTCGAAGGCAAATTATTACACAGTCGTCTATTGACTGATGAATTACCTTGCCCGTAGCAGCAGCTTAAAAATCGCAAGGCCTAGCGTGGTTGCCATCTTGATTTCAGGGGATCTGATGAAATCATGGTGCTGATGAAATCGTGGCCCTTTGAAATAGGAGGTGTAGATGAGGAAAGGCATTAACCTGAAAGGCTGGTTAAGCTTCTCTGTAGTCATTTGTGACACTTAATTTCATCTTTAGTTTATTAATTTATGTATAATTCAGTCATTATATACTAAATAAGCAACGTTTAGACCATTGCTACCTACAAATCAAATGGTCTTATGAATGATATGATGTTGACTAGTTTCTGGACTGAAAGTAGTTTTGGAATGTATTTCAACTGATGCTGCTTTATGTTCTCATGTTTTTCTCACAGTGAAATTTCTTTAAAGGTGTCCCAAGGACTGATTAGGGAAAACAAACATGAATGCCTGTGAGAGAACATTATCATAAAGTTATAAGGTGCTAACATTATATTTAGTGCTAGAGAGCTTTTCTGCAAGGAATGGTAATTTCATTTGAATACCTACTTCAAACCAGGTTAATATAATTGCCTTATTTATTCTGTGTTTTAACATGTGTCATACCCCGAGATAAGTTGTTACAAGTAACTGTGCATTATTTTTAATAGGCTTCATTTATTTTATTCCAGAATATTTGTGAAATAAAATATATTCATTATTAAGAAAAAAGCCCCCAAACAAATCATAAAGTTTACTCAAATTTGAAAACTGTTGGGGTTTTTTTTTGGGGGGGGGAAAGGAGGTTCAAAATATTGTAGGACTATGCTAAGAAGCCTTTTTAAAAAAATTAAATCACCCATTTAAAAATGTGGCATGTTAGAGGAAAATTTTGAAAATATAGGCATGTGAAAGGAAAATTCATATTTTGTCTTAAAGAGATGAAATTATCTGCCCCAAGTGTTCTGAATTTTATCAAAGTAAACTCTTATCCAGCTTTGTGGAAGAAAGGAAGGGTTTTTAATCATCGTGGTACTTCATCAGTAACCTGGGGAGAAAATGGCACATCTATTAATACTGAAATTTCAATAATCTTCTGTGAGTGTGTGTGAATAAAACTTTAAATTAATGATATATTTAGGGGATCCCTCTTCTCCTCCCCCAAACCTGGTTAAGTTCAGTATATTTTCAGTCCACTGAACCATAAAAATAATTATCTTCTGTGTTTCACTTTTCTCTGTGATACTCATTTTTCTCCTGATGACAAAATGTTTTCTCCATACAGAGTTTCATTTCATACATTATTTTACAGTTAGCAGAATAAAAAACCATTTAAATGTGTTTCTTGTTTTCATATGCATAAATAAAAAAAGATGAATTTCATTTTAATTTAAAATGATTCAGATAAAAAATCTTAATCATTAACAGTTGTTCAAGATAATGAAGTATATTAATTTAACATGAATAATTCAAATTTCAGGAATTTAGAACTGTGATTTAATATACATAGATCTTTGCATACATCTTTAAAAAGCAGAATTGAAATATTGAACTGTTGGCAGCAGGATCTTTTCCCATAAAACATCTTGAACTGTTTACAGCATTAACAGTGTCTGAAATTACAACCTCTTTTCTTTGTTAATCATGTAGTGGATGGAAGAATTTAAAAATGACCTGCTGACTGAGAAAGATCCCAGGTACCTGGCCGTGAAAGAAGTTTTGCAGCGTCTGGTAGAAAGCAACAAAGACATCCCAGGAATCTCTGACTTCAGGTGGATTATTCACTTGGTGGATAGGCCCAGCATAAATGCCTTCGTGCTGCCCGTAAGTACGTTTCTTCCGATTCGATTTCAGTGTTAGGTTGGTGACGTCTGTTTTCAGCTCACGGTGTGGTGGTTTTTTCTTTTTGTGTGTGCACAGAAAGGGCAGGTGTTTGTTTTCACGGGGCTCCTTGAGGCGGTCACTGACGTTCACCAGTTGGCTTTCCTTTTGGGCCACGAGATCGCTCATGCAGTGCTCGGACATGCTGTAAGTACTTCACCATCAGGGTTCAGTTACTGGAATGTTCGTGGTTGTCACGAATTAATTGCCTTGAAAGTGTAGGATGTTTTAATGCTCATTTTTTTCACGGAGGGAATAGTAAAACAGAACAAGTTATATTATGCCATCTAAGAAATTGTGGCAAGAGAAGACCATGTGGGATGGTGGACAGAGTGCCAGGCTTGGAGCCAGGATTCTGGCCTCTCTTTGGCCACTCGCCAGCTGGGCACGTCACCTCATCTCCCTGTAAAAGGAGGTGATAGGACTAGATTATTTCTAAGGTCCCTTCTCACTCTTTAAATTCTTCAAATGGTGGAATGTCGTGAAGCAGTTGACAGTTATTTGGTATCATCCTTTCTAACTTTTCTTAGTACTTCACAGGATAGTAGCATTTCAGGGTTGTCAGGGACCTTGAAGACCATTTAGTCCGGCCCATCTCTACTCTCTGTAAATATGTGGTCCTTGGTGAGTGAGTGTTGGCTTTGCCAGAAGGCTTCTGGTGAGGTGTCACCTGCCATGTCCTGGGCATCCCCTCCACTTTGGGACAGCTCTCATCATGAGGATTGTTGCAGAGTTTCTCCTGACATCAGGCCTCAGTTTCCCTTTTTGCAGCTGCTCAGTAAAATTAGTCCACGCCTTGAAAACATCTGACGATAGAGGAAATGTTCCAGTCTTCTCCCTTCCTGCCCATGCTGGTGTACGGGCATCCAGCCTCTGAGAAGAAAGCCAAGGGGAAAGCTGATGAGGAGAGACTCCACTGTCCCAAAGTCCATCTGCCACATGTAGGCAAGCCTCCTCTGCCCCCAGGAGCTGACCTCCGATGGCTTCACCACCATAACCCGTCTTCTTTCTAGGGAAGTTTTTGGACTTCTATGCAAAGGGAGTGTTTAGTAGTAAGAGAATCCATCTATTGAACCAGGAAGAGATGGCGGCAAGTCTGGAGAGTTTGAGGGGTCTTCATCGTCATCTCCATCATTTCCTTGATAGACACCCCCTGACCTGGGCCCCTGCTTGTTGCTTTGGCTCAGACAGCGTCATCAGGAGCTGGGAAGCCAGCGCCTGCGCCTGGAGGGCTTTGTTCTCCATGCTCACCACTGGAGGTCCTTCAGAGCAAGTGGAGTGTGAGTTTTAAAGCTTTCTCTATGCACCCAGGTGTTAATATTGCCATTGTTTTCTCAACGTCCTGCTTGGGGATGGCAGAATGACCTTCTGCTTGGGGCCAAGTGGGAAAGGAAGGCTGTGGGGGAATCCCAGTGACCCCAGATGGCCAGGGATCTGCTTCAGGCCACACGGGCAGTAAATACCAGAGCCGTGCTGTGAACCCTTACCATAAGTCCAGTGCTTTTTTTTCCCCATGAACACAGCTTCTATCTTTCTTCCTTCTATATTTATTTTCATTATGTTTTACCTGGATTAAGAGAAAACGGCAAGAGTAGAAAAGCAGAGTATCCCTTTTGTAATAATTTCTTTACATAACTTTTCCGATGTAGGTGCGGTTAAGTGCCTGTCTCTGCCAGGTGCTCTTTCCGCTGACCTCGGTAGCCCGCCCGGCGTGCAGATATTGTAGCCATATTAGTCTTAAACTGAAATGACTCCCCAGATCTCTGTTGGAAGGAGCCCCAGGTGCCACAGGGTCCGGGCTGTGCTCCCCCTGCAACGTCCGGGACAAGCAGCAGCCTTCTTCCTCCCGAGGCTATCCCGGAGGCGCTTCAGCAGAGCTGAGGAGCTGGAGGTTTGTCCTTCTATCCAGGCGAGCGTTAATGGCTTCACATCCCCGAGATTAACCTGTTTCCATTCCCATCAGAGACTGTAAAGGAAGGTGGTCAAAGCAGAAGGAATTGCAATAGCTTCTTCCTCTGACCTGTTACCAGACTTAGGATCCCGTCCTCTTGAAGCCTCCTGGATGAGGCGTTCTGGGAGGCGGTGCGTTCTGGGAGGCGGTGCGTTCTGGGGGGTGGTGCGTTCGGGGGGGTGGTGCGTTCTGATTCCTTGGTCTGTCCTCGAGGCTGTGGAGCCTGTGTTACTTGGTCCATCATCGTTGCGTCATCACAGCTCGCTCCGTCTTGGTCATCCATCCCTTTGGAAGCATTTTAACATGTGCTATATCAGCTTGTGTGGCGTTGCCTCCGGGGCCTCGTGCTGAGCGGGTGTGTCAGTAAAGAAACGAGCAGTTACAAGCATTAGATGACAGCTTTGAAGACTGAAAATACTGATGTTTCTTTTGCACGTTTCTTAAACGTTGCTGACACTTGAAAGTTTTTCTAATTGAGACCCAATTTTTAATTTAATAATAATGCTGATGATCTTAGCTTACATGTATAAAGCACTTTAAGATTTGCAGAGTTCAGAGTGTGTATGACATCTCATTTGATCCTTCCTGGTGTCCTGGGAGTGGATGCTCTTAGGCCCATGTGACATAGATGGGAGCTGAGCTTCACAGAGGTGAAGCCACACAGCTAGTCAGTGACTGAAGCAGGATTTGAACTCAGGTCTTCCTGGCTGCAAGCCCAGCATTCTGTCTACTGTGTCACACTGATTCTCTTCTCCCTCTCTCCCTCCCCATCCTCCCTTTTTTCTTTTTTATTACTTTAGTTAAGCAATTACCTAATTCTGTATAATGCATGCCTGTATTTGTATTCAGACACACTTTTGTATTTAGCAAGAGTTTCTCTGGCTTTGGCTAAAGTTCTAAAAGTCTGAACGTGGGAGGGGGTGATCCTGGGGTCTCAAAGACCATATATGTCAGCATGCCAGAAAGCTGTTGTTTACAGGTTCAGCAGTGAGGTGTTTGTGTTCCATGTCCTGGGCAGTCAGGAGGGCTGCTGAGAAGTAGGCGGGTCAGGTCTCATGACGGTTTAGCCATGTTGTGACTGATGATATTATCAAACCCTCCACAATAGCTTGTTTATCCGGCACCTGTGCTCTTTGCAGCAGGGCAGAAAATGAGCCTCTCAGCGATTGGAACTCAGGCTTGCCCTTTAATTCACAAAGGTCGCTGATATTTAAGTAAAACATTTTGCAGTAATTTCTGTTATAAGCAAACGAAAGTACTGGCTGAATTTCATTTCCCGGTGTGAAACCCGAGACGGAAATTAAGGCACACTTCAAGAAATGTAAATGTATTTTCCATTTCTCAATAACCTTAGACAAGATCAAAACGCTTAATTTAAGCAAATGAATAGTTACCTTTGGAAGTAGAAATGTAAACCCAAGCATGAAGTTGCTAATTGTTCTCTCCCACTTCAGATATTAGCTAGTATTTGGTATTTAGTAAAAATGTATGTATATAAGCACATGTAATTTTATGGCATATATAGACATTATGATCTCTATGGTATAAAATTTTTATTCTAATTTCCTGTAATAACCAAAAGCCTTTTGGGTTAAAATATATTTTCTCCTTTCAGATATTTAACTTTTATGTAAGATTTATTAAAATTGGATCGATGCTCCCCGTGTTCCCATTATGGGAGTCTAAGCTCCATTTGCCTGTGTGTACACGTGTGTGAGCTAAGGATATGGAAGAAGGAGAAGCCACAGAAAGGCCAGAAGACTTTTCTCCATCTTGTCCTTGGGCCTCAGCTGACAACAGCTGCTTTATGGGGGCCATTTATGACGCAGTAGAAACCTGTCTACCAGCATTTGGGATAATCATTTTGTTATTTTGATTGTTCTCAGGCAGAGAAAGCCAGTCTGGTTCATTTGTGGGATTTTCTAGGTCTGATTTTCCTCGTGATGATTTGGGCCGTCTGTCCTCGAGATAGTTTGGCAGTTTTGGGACAGTGGATCCAGTCTAAATTGAAAGAGGTAAGGGGGGGGCCAGTGACTAGGGTGCCTTATGGTATTGGCATTGATTGGCATTTTACTGTAGATAGATGGAGCCTGATATTGCTTTACATTTTGTCATTAGGAAAAATGGGCTTTTCCTATTAAAGATCATAGATTTAGAGCTCGAAAGAACCTTGGAGGTCATCTAGTTTAACACTCTCATTTTACAGGTAAAGAAACTGAGACTCAGATTAGCCCAGGGTCTCACAGGTTGTTGAGTGCAGAATTCAAACCCAGGTCTTCTGATCAAATTCAGTGCTCTTTGTCTCTTGGCCATAAATTTGTATCTTCTCCTAGAGGCAAAGAGTCTGAGGTTACACCAGATTCTTGGAGGCTGTGCCAGTGCTCGGTGTGTCTCATGCCAAGGTGGCAGATTTCGATTACAGGCCCAGTGGCCAACTGTGCGTCTGGCATCTGGGCAGCCCGGTGAGGTTTGGAGACTTCCCCACCCGTTTAGCCCCAGGGCCATAAGCCTGTCAGCCACACAACCTGTGGAAGGTCTTGTTGGATGCCACGTAAGGGCTCCAGGTTTGTTTGAAGGCCCAGTGGACATTTGGGTCTGGCATTGCCGTTTCTCTGAGCTCGTGGAATCCCAGAATCTTGGTTGTGAAGGAGCTCAGAGGCCCCCTCGATGATTGGTTTGGCACCCTTTAAAGTCCTCCAGTAGGGAGGTCCATCCTCAGGTGGCCTGGTCCACGTTGGCAGTTTGATCCTCCCCCTTTGCAATTTCCCCTTGTTCCTCGTTCTTCCTTTTGCCTTTTAATCTCTCCCCCCGCCAGCCCCTCAATGTGCTCAGCAAACACCCACATACCTAGACCGTGGAATACGAAGGGACTACGAAGGTGTTACTTGATGAAGGTGGCTTTTCCAAGGGATGTTTTCATTTTAATCCAAGATGGAACACTTTCAGTCTTTAGAGGACTGTGGTCGGGCTGAAGCTGTCCCTGGTCCTACCCAGCTGCTGAGCGAACCTGCACTGGGCACGCCACTTTATACAGGGGTCAGACCTCAGGTTGGGGGTTAGGAAAGAGAACCTGGCTTGACGTTCCCTTTTTCTTGTTCTTTTTTTCATGTATGATAGTAATCATCCAGCATCTTCCACTGAATAGCTGTCCCTCGTGATGACTGAACTGCTGTATGTGGTTCTTTCAGTTCTGGGAGTGCCTAACTGCTTGATTAGCTGTGATTAATTATTTTATTTCACATTCCTCTCCAAATATTTCCCCTTGTCCGGGGAGATTTGACTATTTAGGCACAATCTGTTATTTGTTTATTTAATGATTTGTGGAACACCCATCCGAGTGCCATCTGGGTGCTGTTCCAAATCTAAGGCATAAACCGTGATGAGATAAATTGATAATGAAATTGAATAACAAGCATCTTTATACATTCATGTTCTGTTATGGCACTTTCTTTGTTTATAATTACTGAAAGTTCATAAAGGGAAAACAAGAGCAGCCTTTGATTGGGTTGTGGGAGCTGATCTCTGGAGTTTGATCGCTGCCAAGGACAAAGGCAAAGTGGTTTGAGCTAGCCTTTTCCCCATGATATAGTGAAGGCTTTTCTTTTTTTCTTTTAATGGCTTCATTAGAATTGTGTAGTAAGGAGGAGGTCACAGAACCCCACCATCTTAGTAAAGTTCTCTAGAGAACATCTAAACAGTCTAAATGGCTTCCCAGAGAAGAAAGTTGGATGGACACCCACTTCGTTTTTTGAGCTCTCTCCCCTTAAATCAAAGTTCCTGGGATTCATGTGAGCAGTAACCACCTGTCATTTTCCTAAAACTGTAACATCACTAGTTTGATAATTCCAGAGGACCCATGAGGAAGCCTGCCACTCACTTCCTGACAGAGAGGAGAGGGGCTCCGGGTGCGTATTGAGAGAGATAGAGATAGATAAATAGAGAGAGAGAGTGAGATACACACACACACACACACACACACACGTACACACGTGACATGGCCAATATTTATTTTGCTCGGCTATACATATTTGTTACAAAGTTTTGGTTTTCTTTTTCTTTGGGAGAGGGGAGTAGAAGAGAGAGAAGGTAGATTTTTGTTAATGAGAAAAAAATGAAATAAAAATGGAAGAAATCATTAGTGTTCTTTTTTTTTTTTTTAAAGGCAACTGGGGTTAAGTGACTTGCCCAGGGTCACACAGCTAGTAAGTGTCAAGTGTTTGGTCTGAGGCCGGATTTGAACTCAGGTCCTCCTGACTTCAGGGCCAGTGCTGTATCCACTATGCCACCCAGCTGCCCCCGAGACTGTATTTCTTAAGTAGAGTCTGAGCTCCATGAGGACAGGAGATGTGGGGTTTTTAGCTTTATGTCTCCAGCTCGTAGCATCATGCTTCGTATGTCCGAGGCAAAATGTTTGTTAAACAGAATTAACTGTGAAGAGTGCTTTGGAGTGCTGTGGTAAGACCTCAGATCTGCTTAAATACATTGTAGTTTTTGTGGCACTCTCAGGTTTGTTATCTTAATCTGGTGGTATTTTTAAGTTTACAAAGCACTTTAGAGCCAGGATTTCACTGTATCCTCCTACCGCCCTGGGAGGCAGGTGCTATGGTTATCCCCTTGTTGTCGATGAGGACACTGGGACCCAGGGGGGTTAAGGGACCTGCCCAGGGTCACACAACTAGTGTTCAGGTAGCATTTGAACCCAGGTCCTCTTGACTCCAGGCCCAGGCTCTAGCCACTGGGTCACCACCTAGCTGCCTGGCTTGTTTGCTCTTCATAGAAGCCTTTTGGCAGGTATGATTGTGCCCATTTTACAGAGGGAGAAACTGAAGCTCAGAGAAGGTAAGATATAGGCCCAAGGTTACACAGCGAGTTAGTGGTAGAATTGGGACTAGAACTCAGGTCTTCCGACTTAATCCATTACTCTTTTCTCTGCCTCACAGAGATAGACTTTATTTTTAGTAGATTGCGGGTGTTACTTCCCTTTAAATTTTCATTCCCTTTTTGGAAATTAACCCACGTATCATTAAAAGATATATATTCATCACTGATAGAGGGAATGAAGGCTACAGCATGTACCCTGTCCCCATCTTCTTTGTTAGGGTTGCTCAGTAAATGTTAAATCTTCATAAGGATTATACACATTTCATCTTACACGCTTCAGGTATCTGTTAAAATGAATAAAATACCCTTCAGTACTGAGGAGGAAAAGTCGTGCTTGTCTGATGTTATGAATACAGGTTGTTAACAGATTTTATGTCGTCTTTCTTCTAGTATGTGTTTGATAGACCCTTCAGCCGCACCCTGGAGGTGGAAGCTGACAAGGTCGGATTGCAGTTTGCCGCGAAGGTAGGTGGAACGGGTTGTTGTGGAAGTGGAGGAGGAGCCCCCGAGAATGAGCAGGAGGATAAAATAATGATCAAAAGAATCCGTCGATCACCTCCTGAAAGAGATCCCAAAGTGAAAATGCCAACGAATATTGAAGCCAAACTCCAGAATTATTAGGTCAAGGAGAGAAAACTGCAAGTAGCCAGAAAGAAACAATTTAAAGAATAACGATTATTTTTAACAATAATTTAAACCAATAACAACAATTATTTAAATAACAATTTAAACCACAGTCAGGATTACACAGGACCTTGCAGTTTCAATATTAAAAGATCAGAGGGCTTGGAATATGATGTTCTGTAAGGCAAAGGAGCTTGGATTACAATGAAGGACCAACTGTCCAGCAAAATTGAACATAAATTTTAGGGGAGGAGATGGACATTCAATGAAATAGGGGACTTCTAATCCTTCCTGTTGAAAAGACCGTAGTTTGACAGAAAATTTGATCTTCACTTGAAAGACTCAAGAAAGGCATAAAAAGGTAAACAGAAAAGAAAAAAAAAACGTTTTTCAATAAGGGCAAACTGTTTACATCCCTACATAGGAAGATGATACTTGTCACTCATGAGAACTGTTACAAAGTTTTGGTTTTCTTTTTCATTGCCCAGCACGAGGGCAGTTTGATGGTCACACTTCACAAGGGGAGGTTTTCTTATTTGGAAAGGCATGTAAGTCAGAAAGGTTCTTGTACGTAAACATTATTTTATAGCATTATCTTCCAGGAACTCTCCCTGGGGCTGGGACAAGTCTGGCATAAGCTAACTAGGGGTGTCATCCTAAGAGGAGGAACGTCAGCCCTCTGCTAGGGGAAGGGGTTTTGTGCACGCTGGGTCTTCTGCATGTGGACGTTCTTCATGAAAATGACATTTTTTTAAGACAATGGTTTGCCCTAAAATTGGATTTTCTTTTGTTCCTTCTGCATTATCTTTGGTTTTTTCTGGCTCTGGCTGTCCTCAGGGTCATCTTCACTGACACTGTTCAGGTGCCCAAAGGCTTTTGACATGATGGGCATACTCTTCTGCATTTTTATCTGATTTACTTACAACAGCTTTGGAGGTAGGTGCTTTCTTTTGTCTCTGCTGGCACAGGACCTCTCAGCATGGCATGCCCACACCAGAGAAGGTGCTGTGCGCTGTGAGCGAAGCAGACTTGAAATAGCTCATACACGATGCGCAAATGTAGAGAATCCGCCCGAAATGTTCCCATGGACGGTTTGTGCCCTCCTGTGGTGGAGCATCCCGAGCTCACATTGGGCTGAGTAGCCACAGTTGGATGCCCTGTGACTTGACCTTGGCATAGTGATGTCACGTAGGTCCTCTTCACGCATGAAGGACAACAGCAACCGTCCTCATTTTACAGATGAGAAAAATGAGGGCCAGACTGGCCCAGGGTGCCACAGTTGGAGGCAGGATTCAAACAAGGACTGGCCTGGCTTCCAGGTCAGCAGGGCCTGTTACTCCTTGCTGCCTTGCAGTCCAGCCTGTGCTCCCGTCCCCTCTGTCTTCACCATCTCTCCCCTCCTGCTTGGCGCTTCCATTGCCACCATCTGAGGTCAGGCCCACGTGGTCTCTAGCCTGAACCATTACGGTGTCGTCTTCATGAGTCTCTCTGCCTCCTTCTCTTCCTCTGCCTAGTCCATCTAGCATCATGTTGCTGGATAACTCTCTCTGGTGCCCAGAACCTTCCCTTGCAGTCATGATGTCCCTCCCTCTATAATCCCGTCTGTTGCTCAGAGCCTTTAAATGGTCCCTCGTTGCCTGCCAGAAAAACCCAGCCTCCTTAGCCCTGTATCCTTGGCCCTCTGCAGCCTGGCTCTGACCGCCACCTTCATGTCAGGGAAGCTGTGTGTCTGTGAGTGAGTAGTAACAGAGCTAAAGATAGCAAATTCAAAATTAGCTCGTTGTTTATGCTTGGGATACTTCATTTTGAGTGTGCTGTTGTCAAAGATCGGTTGGCTTTCTCTGGCTGTGGGACCATGGACAAGGAAGGCGCTTCCTGAACTCTTGGCCTCTCACTGTCCCTTCTGGGAATTGAAGATAATAATACTTGCATTATCTGTGGAAGCACCATGGTATAATCAATGAAATATTGGACTTGAGGGCTGAATTGGGTCCAAATCCTGTCCCAAATACTTCTTTGGGGTGTGACCATGCACAAATCACTTAACCAACCCTGCATTGGGCGAGACCCACATCAGTGAACGTTTAGCTCCTACTGAGTGCCAGGCACTGGACTTGGAATTGCTTGATAGGAAGGCAGTCATGAAATAGCCTTTGCCTTCGACTAGGGGAGATAAGGAATACACGTGAAAGTGCATTCAGAATCTCCGTAAGGAAATGGTGTGACTGGGGGGTGGAGGTCAGGAATGTTCTCATGGAGTGGAAGAGGTAGAGATGAGGATGAAGTCCATTCCAGGGATGGAGGTCTGCAGGTGGGAAAGAACATGCTACGGCGTCAGCAGGAAGGCTGGTTTGGCTGGCCCATGTAATGCACAGACAGGAGGGAGATGGAATAAGGTCGAAAGGCAGGGGGGAGCCCAGTGTGAAGGGACTTCAGTGCCAAGCAGGGGAGTTGCTCTCACATCCTCAAGGCAAGAGGGAGCCATTGGTGTTTCCCAATCAGGACAATGACATGGCCCGGCCTGTGCTTTAGGGACGTTTCCTTGGCTCCTCTGTGGAGAGAGCAGAGGCTTGGGGCAGGAATGTTGTTGGGAATCTGGTGTGGTGGTTGTGTGAGCGCCGAGCAGGGGACAGATGGGAGAAGACGGGGCTGCCGACTGGAGAGTGAGAGGCTGCAAAGCCAGGTGAGGAGGATGATGGTGGCGTCCTCAACAGAGAGGGGAATTTGGATGTGGCACAGGTTCTGGGGAAAAGAGAATGAAGTTTATTTTGGACACGTGGTGTGTGTGATGTTTTTGGGACGTCTGGTTTGAAGTGTCCAGTAAGCAGTTGGTGATGGGGGACCAGGGCTCAGGAGGCAGATGGGATGGATCTAATAAATGTTTATTGACTGGCGTGGAGGGGATCCTGGGTTCCCTCTGGTTACATGCCAGCCAATATAAGCTGCTACAGGCCCTGCCAGAGTGGGGAGGTTGTTAGCATGGGTGCAGGGCTGGACCGGCTTCGCTGAGCCCGGGGAAGCTTATTCTCCTCTGGGCTGCGGGGGCATGGAGTGTTTGGGTCACGGCAGCTCTTGAGGACTGTCTGTTTACTTAGAGAGGGTCGGTGGGAGGACTGCCGCAGGGATGAAATCACGGAGGTTTGAGGGGCACACCAGATACACAGGTAGAGTCATGCTGGTGTGGCCTCAGTTTCCTCGTCTGTAACATGAGAGCTTCTACCTCAGTGATCTGGATGGTCCCTTCCAGCTCTCGCCTCCTCTGAGTGTATGTCATTGGTAAGTGGCTGCCATGTAACAGGGTGGAAAATCAGCTCCCAAGAAAGACCCAGAACTCCATTGCCAGGCTGCTTTCTTCACTGGTCAAGGTTGCAGCCCCCGTGTAGCCTCAGTTCCTTGACTGACGGCCGGTTTGGAGGTGGCCAAGCCCCCATGGTTGTCAGAGTTGGCAGACACAGCCTTGAGGAGCCCAGGGTCCTTACTTGCCATGTGCTCCATCCTAGAGGGGTTGGGGTAGGGTCCTGGGGCCTCAAAGAAGCCAAGGGGCTGGCTCAGGATCACCCAGTTAGCATGGAGAAAATCTGGGAGCTGGCCCAAGTCTGAGGAAGCGGGGCTCAGCCTGGGAGTTGCCAAGGTCTCAGAGTGGGGTGTGCGGGCCGTTAGAACCAGCCCTGGCGTGACAAGGCAGCTCGATTGCTTGTACGATGGCCTGGCCTTTTGTCCTTCGTTTCCTCCTCAGGCTGCTAGGTCATCTTTTTCTCCCCAGCCTTCAGAACCTTACCTTCTGGTCTGAAGTAGAAAACCTGTTTCCTTGCGTTGCTTTTCTCATCCTGGGCTACAAAACTATGAAGACAGCACCATCTAGTGAGAAGACGAGAGAAATGGCGGACGACTTCAGGAATCCACTTTCTAAGGGGGATCACGAGATCAGAGCTCGTGGGAGGGGAAAGGAACGTTGGAGATAATCCAGTCCTTTCTGCTTCTGCCTGTCCTCATTCTGTGGGGGAGAAAACTGAGGCCCTCGGGTGCAGTAACTTGCTTTTCGTGGTCACAGCTTGCTTGTCACAAGCCAGAGCCAGCTTGGGAGGTCAGTCTGTGGGCAGCAGGGAACCCAGTGAGGAAAGACCAAGAGTAGATTGTCAGGAGAGCATTTTATTGATTAATAGTTGTAGATTTCCTGGTGACGAAGTCATGTTTTACAGCGTACAGGTGATAAGTGACACATGTTTTACAGCGTACAGGTGATAAGTGACATTCGATGGGGAGTATCATGGGATCTGGGGAAATGAGATGTTCTCATGAATGATAAGCTTTGATTTGAGCTGTTGTTCTGTGGCTTTGAGGCTGATGGCTTAGACCAGCCACACATTAAATGTAAGACTCTTGATGTCCTTCTTGAGGTCTTTCTTCTATTAGTTAGGGATTGTATCCCCAGCACTTAGCACGGTGCCTGGCACATAGGAGGCACTTAATAGATGTTTATTGGATTGGATTCGGTGCTGCTGTGATTGTTAATGAGATGGCTAACCAGCAAAGAAAGTTTTTAAAACTGATATGAAGCAAACTACAAAATACCTAGTATAAATTCTTTGTGCCCCTTCCAGATTGGGGTGCAGATAGAATTTTTATCAGATGTAAGCTTTAAGTTATAAGAGAGGCATTAACAAACACTGAGTGTGCTTTGCAAATGGATATGGTCATTTGTCAGTAGTTCTCATTATTAAGCTGCAGTTGTCCCAACACTTAAAGCTGTCATGTGACTGGCCAGAAATATGTGATTCAGCCAAGAGTGGGCAATGATGGTTCCCTCGAGGTGTCCTGCAGAAGGGCTGATCTGGCAAACTAGAAGTTGCAAAATGATAAACCCCCCACGACGTAATGAGGATTCCAGTGGGGAGAAAAGAGCTGCCTCTGAACATGCACGAAATGCAGGTGTGCCCATATCCTGGCGATGCTTGCCTTCTCCTGAGATTTCCTGGTCGCATTCCTACCTGCGTGCACACATTCCACCACGCTTTCCTCTGGTGTGTTAGCTTGGGGGTGCACCTGCGGCGAACAAACCCAGGAGAGCTTCCCGGCTCAGTCCTTTTCTCACATCAGCTGCCTAATGAGCTCCTGCCCGCCATTCCTCCTTCCCATGGGTGACACTTTGTGGCCATCAGTGTCCTCACTGGGAAAAGAATGAGGGCGGCTCAGGTGACCCCTCAGGTCTCTTCAGGCTCTGATTGTGCTGAGTCCCAGCATCCAGGCTTGGGTGAAGGGCAGGCTTTGTGATTCGTTGTAGTCGGTGAAGTTAAAGCCGCAAAAAAGTTACCCAGAATCTGTGACGGGGACAGGTTGTAGCAGTGCTGATGTCTGTCTGCTGCTTGGGCTTCTGGGGGCCACCTGGGGTGGAGCTGAGGCAGAAGCCATCCACAGGGAGCAGGGGCAGCTTCTCAGGGGGCCAGAAGTAGCCTGCGGCGGCTGCTTCCCCTTTTGTATTTCTGGTAAAAGTCTTTGGCTGCAGGCAGGGCTTGCCTGGAGTAGACACGCGTGTAACTTGTGGAGTCCTCGGACTTCTCATTATCCTCAGGCATCGTGTGCTACTGCTCTCAGATGACTGGCTTCAGGCCTGGTGATTTTAGGCATAGCCTCCTGAGTTCAGAATTTCCCAGATGACCAGAAGAGTGTTTTGGCCTGAACTAGGGCCTGGGCATAATCTAGGCTGAATTAAATTGGTCCTGCTTACCCCATTGATGTCATTGATGGCCTTGTCAGTTGTGACAGGCCAGATGGACCATTGGTTTGGGACCGTGCTTGCTGGTCAGAGTGAGTGCTCTGAAGGGGAAGGGGCTTCCTTACATATAGGTCACTGGGCCAGTGGGATTATTTTGGTCCCAAGGTTGAAAAGTGAAGTCATTCCCTTTCTTTCTCCCCTTCTATGATTTCGACACTGGTTGATGCTGACTTTCTTCCACTTGCACCTCACACCCTCCAATTCTGATTTAGAAAAGTGAGTTGAACTGGTGGCTAGCAGCCACTTCATTTTAAAAATGATGATTTTCATACCTAATGCAGGCCATTTTTACTTTGTATAAATGGAGAGAATAAATATAAGTGACATACTCATTTTCAAAAATTTCACCTCCCTTTAGTGTGTCTTTGTAATTAGTTTTACAAAGTATAGAGAAACAAGGATACCTCCATCTTAATTTTCAAACAGATGTCTCAGTTCCTTTTGGAATCTTAGTCTGTTGAGATGATTAATCTGTTCCTCTGATGTACTCTGCATACCAGGTATTACTTTAAAGATTATCTTCAGCTGTGTTTGTTAAGAGATTAAAACAGTGACATAATTTTGTTGTACTTTGATTAACTCTTTGTGTGCTGAGCAGGACATGAGATAGCGATGTCCTTTAGAGATATACCAGTCAAACCTACGTAGCCAGGCGACCTATGGACTGGCAAGGATGTGACGGATTGTGATGGGTTTTTTCCAGATATTTGTTTTTAACACAGTGTTGTGCTATGCTAGATCGACGGGGCTCTGAAATAGGAGATTACAATGTTCTGGTCACTCCTTTTCAAATCATTTTTTGGTTTTATGAAAACTTTGGGAAGCAGCATTTTCCACTGGCTATTTTTTGTACTAATGGCATTTTTGTTACTTTCTTGGGAAGTGGAGGGGAGGATAAGCTGGATTTGAAGGGACAAATCTGGTTGCTTTTGAGCTTTAGCTGCATCTGAAATAGGCTTTGTTCCCAGCAGCAGCTTAATTGTTGTTGATGATGGAAAGTAGTTGGTATTTTCTAGGCTCGTGTCGCAAACAGACATTAGAGATTTTGTCAGGTTTCAACAGAAAGTAGAATGTCGTGCTGTATTTAATTCTGAAGCCGTTTCTCCTGAAGGTTTCTAACAGTTTTGCATGCGACGCTTTGATGCTTTGAGAGTGCGTAGTCAAGAACAGTTGCAGGGTGACTTTACTGTGCCGTCAGCTGCCTAGCGGCCTTCATCTTTATCGCTATGGCAGGATTCAGGATATTCTAGCAGTGCTTCTGGTTGATGCTATGGTCATTTCCTCCTCAGATATCTTAGGATAAAGGAAAAAGTTCCAGATTTGAAATATAGTAACTTCTTTATTACAGTGTTTACTGAAGACATTTTAATATGGGTAATGGTATGCTGATGTTCTAGTCACTTTTAAAGCCGTGTGTGTCACCTTTCGTGGTTACATAAAGTTAGATGAGACCCTGGACGCCATCTCTAGTCTGCTTCCCTCATTTTGCAGGAGAAGGGAGGTGACTTTAAATGCAAGACCCCCTGGGTAGCCAGTAGCAGGGCTAACATTGGAACTTCGCTTTTCTGCCTCCCAGTCCATTACTCCTCCCTGTGTACTGTGCCTGTCAGCAGAGCTTGCATTCTGACAGCGTGTATGCATTGATATTGCCATAAATAATGTAGCTTTTTTCTCCTCCTGCCTTATGTATGTACATTTTCTTCCATAATACTCTATGTTGTGTATTTTTCCCCTAATGTGTCCTTAGAGAGTTAACCTGATTTCCTGGTCTTCTGCATTTTACTCTCAGGCTTGTGTGGATGTCAGAGCGAGTTCAGTGTTTTGGCAACAGCTGGAATTTGCAGATAGGATTCTGGGTGAGCCTAAGTTACCAGAATGGCTATCAACGCATCCCTCCCATGAGAACCGAGCTGAGCACTTGGAACGGCTTATACCTCAGGTGAGCCTGACACTTCACTTCTCTTCTCATACTATTTACAGTAAATTCCATTATCCGCCATGTCCTGGGACAAGGAAAAACCTACTTTGTCATTGAATCTCTTCTGTGATGTTTCTTATGTTGATTAATACCCAGATTCAGAAGTTGAATCCCTGAGGTTATGTGAAGGATAGGAAGTGGTAAAAAAAAAAAAATTCTCAGATTGTCATTTTCTCAGGGTGAGGTCTGTGATGTTGTAGCTTTCTTCCTATGGAATATACCTTCTGAAATGATCATGGGGGGTACCAAAAGGTGAGAGATCCAGTGAACAGAAATTATTTGTTCAGCCTTCAATTTGTGCTGTGCAAGCAACAGGTACCTTTGAAAACCCTAGGCTGGTGGAACTTTCCGATCGGCAGAGGTTTCATTTTATAGGATCATCAGCATCCTATAAAATGCTGCATCAGCAGCGGCGTCAGCACGTGCAAGAACAAGCACCTTCGTTTGTTCTGCTCAAACCCTGAGGAGCTTGGCTGCCTGGCGCCTGCCTGGTCAGGATTGGGAAAGTATGACCAAAACAGAGCAGTGTCTTTGACTTGCTCCATTTTTCCGTGTCTAGATAGCGCTAAGAATTGTCGCCTGAAAAAGCCATGAAATTCTTCAGCATCATGATTGACTTAGCCTTCTAATGGCCAGTATCACTTGGAAACTGAAGCAGCTCTTCTGAAAATAATACACTTGGTTCAGCCAACTGCTTTTCATTGAGTGTTGGGCTAGAGAAGGGTGCTCCTCTTATCTTTTTATGGAGAATCACATATCTAGAATAAAGTGTATGTACTCCAGCTTGAGGCAGGCATATCATCCGCCCAAACTTAGATTGTTCAGAAATTACAAAGAATTTTACCCACTGTCCTTGGAGAGTGCTGACATAAAACATGGCATCGCTTTTTTGGCTTTCATGTCACATAATTGATTCATATTGATCTTGTCATCGGAGCCATAATTAGGGTGTGGGTAACTGGGCCTTTGATTCTGGGTACAGGTAGGGAGCTGATGTCCAGGAGGGTCCTGTGCCCTACAAGAGGATTGTGTCCCAATACTTAGTGGGTCCTCCTCTGGCTGCGAGCCATGACCCTCCCCCACTCCAGCTGCCCCACCCCCACCCCACTCCTTGCCTTGCAGGGTCCCCAAGGCCATAAAGTCCATCTGCTGCTCTAAACTAGTCCTCTGCCCCCCAATATGTTATCAGACTGTGATCCTTTCCACACCTGGGGTGAGCTTCTCCCTGACCCTAACTGACCTTTTCCTTTACCTGGTGGCTTTCTGCCCATAGGGCCATTCCAGGATCATGCTCTTGTCACCTTGGGCCGGTGTCCTGAGGTCTTTTCTTCCATGAGGCCTTGTGCCTTGAGGCCAGGAGTTCCTCTCCAAGGTGTTCCACCATAGTTGTCCTCTTCAGTCTTGTGTTGTGGATAGTACTCTGGACTCGAAGTCAAGAGACTTGGGTTCAGATTCTGCCTCCAGTGCTTACTAGACCTCTGAGCCTGGTCAAGTCTATTAGCCATTCTGTACCTGAGGTTTCGCATCTGCAAAATGAGGGGGTTGGACCCAAGGGCCTGGAAGGGCCCTTTTGGCCTTTAAGTCTCTGATCTTGTGTTTTCAGGCTGTTTCTTCCTTCATCCAAGCCGCTTCCTTGGGAATGACGTGAGCCTGTAAAGGCTGCGCATTGGGTCTGGCTAGGCAGTCACTTCTAAAACCACCCAACTGTGTTAGCACCCAGCTCAGTGGGGGCAAGTATGTAGCCGAAGGCAGGCCAGCAAAACTCCCCGGTGGGATCGCAACCAGATGAAAATGTAATTTGGAGATGTTTAACAAAATAAATAAAAGCACAATATAATATAGGTAATGTTAATTTGTAGAGTGCTAGACCTAGAGTCAGGAAGTCTCGTTTTGTGAGTTCAAATCTGGCCTCAGATGCTTCCTAGCTGTGTGACCCTGGACAAGTCACTTAACCCTGTTTGCCTCAGTTTCCTCATCTATAAAATGTGCTGGAGAATGAGCAGTATCTTTGCCAAGAAAATCCCACATGGGGTCGTGAAGAGTCAGGCGTGACTGAAAAGTGACTGAACAACCACGAAAGTCAATATGTGGCCTGAAGATTTGTTTCTATTTGAGTTTGACACCACTGACCTCCCTCTTATCTCCTTGATCAAATAACAAGAGAGATATTACTAGTTTAAAAAAGGAATTGAAGTTAGTCTAGAATGACTTAGTCTTTTTTTCCCTTATGATAAATAAGCTTAGTTAAGCGAAACCAATCTACCCCTTTGCCATGTCCAAAAGTGTGTGCCTCATTCTGTACCGTGAGTCCATCACTTCTCTGTCAGGAGGTGGGTAGCATGCTTTATCACTGGTTCTTGGGAGTCATGATTGATCATTTCATTGACCAGAGCTCTTAAGATCAAGTGAGATAATATATGTAAAACACATGGTCAACCTTAAAGCTCAGATAAATGTTAGCAATTATCATTATTATGTCTTTACAGTATTGTGACTGTTAAGTTGTCCTGATTCTGCTCACTTCACTATGCATCATTACATACAAATCTTTGTAGGTTTCTCTGAAACTGTCCTTTTCATCATTTTTATAGCACAGCAATATTCCATTGCATTCATATCTCATAATTTGTTCAGCCATTCGCCAATCGATGGGTGCCCCCTTAGTTTGCAGTTCTTTGATATGACATTAAAGAACAATTGTAAATATTTTTGTCTGTATGTGATTTCCCCTCTTTTTGGCTCTCTTTAGGGAATAGGCCTGGTAATGGTGTCACTGAATCAAAAGGGATTCAGTAATGACTTTTTGGACATGGTTCCAAATTGTTTTCTAGAACGGCTGGACTGATTTGTGGCTCCACCAGTGGTGCACCACCATGTTTGTCTTCCTTCAGCACCTCCAGCACTTGTTTTCCCTCTCTGTTATCCTTACCAATTTTGTATGTGTAGGATGAAACCTTAGAGTTGTTTTGGTTTGCTTTCTTCTAATTATTTGTGATTTGTAGCTTTTTTGTATGACAGCTGATCCCTTGGATTTCTTTCTTTGAGAACTGCCTATTTGGATACTTTGACCATTTAGCTTTTGGGGAATAGACATTTTTATATAAGTGAGTAATTTCCTTATGTATCTTGGGTATCAGACTTGATCAGAGAAATTTGTTGCAAAGATTTTCCCCTCAGTTAACTTAATGCCTTCTAATTTTAACTGCACTGATTTTATTGTTCAAAACTTTTTCAATTTTATGTAATCAGAATTTTTTATTTTCTATTTTATGATCATCGCTGTTCTTCCTCTGGTCATGAACTCTTCCCCCATCCATAGTTGATAAATGTATTTGCCTCCCCATCCTCCCAGTGTTATAAATGTGCAGTCATGTAAGACATATTTCCATATTGGTCATGTTGTGAAAGAAAACATAGACCCTCCCACCTCCCCAAAACAAACAAACAAACAAACAAACAAACCACACATACCCAAATAAAGAAAGTGAAAAATAGTGTGCTTCTATCTTCATTTAGACTCCATCAATTCTTTCTCTGTAGGCCGATGGCATTTTTCATCATGAGTCCTTTGGAATTGTCTTGGATCATTGTATTGCTGAGAAGAGCTAAGTCATTCACAGTTGATCATTGTACAATTTGTTGTTACTGTGTACAGCGTTTTCCTGGTTCTGCTCACTTCACTCTAACTCAGTTCATGTAAGTCTTTCTAGGTTTTTCTGAAATCGTCCTGCTCATCATTTCTTGTAGCACAATAGTATTCTATCACAATCATATATCACAACTTGTTCAACCATTCCCCAATGGATGGACATCCCCTCAATTTCCAATTCTTTGCCACCACAAAAAGAGCTGCTGTAAATATTTTTGTACAAATAGGTCCTCCCCTCCTTTTTTTTTTATCTCTTTGGAATACAGACCTAGTGGTGGTATTGCTACATCAAAGGGTGTGCACAGTTTTATAGTCCTTTGGGCAGTGTTCCAAATTGCTCTCCAGAATAGCTCAATCTGTTCACAACTCCACCAACAATGCATTAGTGTCCCAATTTTTCCACAACCCCTCCAACATTTATCATTTTCCTTTTCTATCATATTAGCCACTCGAGAGGTGTGAGGTGGTGCCTCACAGTTGTTTTAATGTGCATTTCTCTAATCAGCAGTGGTTTAGAACATTTTTTCATATGACTATAGATGGCTTTGATTTCTTGGTTTGAAAACTGCCTGTTCATATATCCTTTGACCATTTATCACCTGGAGGATGGCTTATAATCTTATAAATTTGACTTAGTTCTCTATATATTTTAGAGATGAGGCCTTTGTCAGAGACACTTGCTGGAAACGAGATGTCTTTTCTCTTTTCTTGTTTTTTTTTTCCTCTAATTGTTTATGACGTGGCTTCTCATGGCCTGCCTTATTCATGTTGAAGCCACCCTGACTGTGATTGTATATTGAATTTCCCCAGGAATCAAAGTTGACCTTAAGGTTCACAGATTCCATTTTCCTTTGTTGGGGTAGGTGGGGAGATTCCGGACAGTACTTGCCTTCCCTCCCCCTCATCATACTCTTTCAGAAATCACCGACAGTTGCTCCGGTCATCTGCCAGTTCTTTGGGCAGCTGAGGAGCTGTCAGCTGGACCCCATGACTTGAACTCATCAAGGGCAGGTGGCTGTCTTCTTATTAGCCCCTGATTTGGCTGGGGTAGTGATACTTTCTGACCCATTTTTGTTAACTCCTTCCCAGTCCAAAGATTATTTTCCTTGACAGAGAAAGCAGGCACAAAGAGTTGAGCAAGTTTGTGTTCCCTCTGTTATCATTATGTGTTTTCAAATTTTATTTCTGAGAGTCTCTCTCTCCCCTACCCACCTCCCTTCTCTTTCCCCTTCCCTTCCTACCCTTTCCTCCCTCCTCTGAGGGTGTTTCAGCTGTGCCCAACAGGCTCAAGCTCCTTCCTTTTTTGCCTTTT